ACCAGAGCACCATACTCCTTTCTGGCATACAGTCAGATTTACCACTGGAAAATGCAAATCACAATTAGATCTTGTATTAAAAGTATGAACATCGTAGTTCATTTTAATATTAACAACAAACATTAATAAAGAGAATATATACTGAGAGTAGAATGGTAAAATAGACAGTTCCTTAAATAAATTTCGACAAGAATCAATGCTGCCAGAATTTGTAATGATTCTTATTATCCTTTTTTTAATTTTAAATATAATTTTAGAGTGAGTTGAACTACTCCAAAATATTGTACCGTACAAGATAATTGAATGGACTAATGAGAAATGAACCATTTTTAAGGTCTCCAAAGACAGTAGTGGTTCCAAAAATCTAATTACATAGGATACTTTATTTAGTTTAGGTATCAATTGTTCAATATGAGTATGCTATGATAAATTTTTATCAATTATTAAGCCTAAAAATTTTATGGTATGTGCACAAGATATTTGTCTGTTTCCATATGATATATTTAAGTCAGCTGCATTAGTGTTTTTAGTTAAAAATTGAAGGAAATAAATTTTTCCCAGATTTAATGATAATAAATTGCTATGAAACAATCTATTTAATCTTTGTATGGCTGTATTTGTATCTCTTTCAAACTTTGGATATCAGGGTTTGTAATTATCAGAGTAGTATCATCAGCATATAAGACAGGGTTTGAGATGTCAGATATTACATTAGGCATATCATTAACATATAAGAGAAAGAGCAAGGGACCAAGTATGGACCCCTGAGGAGGGACTCCAACAGTAACAGATTCCCATCTATAGTAGTATTTACTTGAGTTAACATTAACTAACACTCTCTGATATCTATTTAGTAGATAGGATTTTATTAAATTATAAGCTGTTCCTGTAATCCCATAGAATTCCATTTTGAACAACAAAATATCATAATTAACACTATCAAATACCTTATGAAGATCACAGAAAATACCCCCAACTAATAATTTACTATTTAATGCTGTTAAGATATTATTAATTAAGTGATAAGACGTGCAATCTGTCGATGATGCTAGCCTAAAGCCAAACTGTTTATTAACAAGACTATGATTATCCTTAATATGTTGATTAATCTATTATAGAGTACTTTTTCAAAAATCTTAGAGAGAGATGTGAGGAGCGAAATATGTCTATCAAAAATCTTAGAGAGAGATGTGAGGAGCGAAATAGGTCTATACAGTAAAACTTGGTTATAGCAACATCGGTTTCTGCGACACCTTGTCTATTGCGTCAAATATTCAATGGTACGAACTAATTCCTCATAAAGCAACTGTTTTTATACCTTGCTTAGTACGACATGCACAAATGCATCAACCTCGTATGTAACGTCATTTTCATTCCTGAATTTCTCTGATATCGTGGGAAAGTTCGATGTGTCTGCCCACCCTCACTTTCTCTACTTGCTGACGTGACTGTCCTGGAAGAATACGACCGCGGGCTGCAAGAGGAGCGTGGGTTTTATGCGAAAACAAGGGTGTGGGGTGGGACTGCGTGAATAGTGCAAGAGGACGCGGCAGGTTGTTAACTGCATTCCTTTCCTAGAATCTCGTCTAACAGGACCTCACATTGTCTACTTACCCTATAGTGTTCCTGCCTAAACCCAGAGAAGTGCAGTAGCGAAAACATGGCAATGAAAAGGAAAGTTTTAAGCATTGAAGAGAAAGTTAAAGTGATTCGTGAAATATTGTGTGTATTGTCAGTGAAAAGCGCTGTAATATGTCTTTGATATTACACATTTGGGCAATTCCACGTTAATGTTACGTTAGTCTGTACTTAACTACGTATTTCACTAAAAAATGCAACATTTTAACTCGGTTTTTGGTAGATTTTTACGTGACTAACATAAGGCTACTGTGGAAGTGCCCATTTCGGTTACAACGACATTCGTTTATAACGACACTATTTTTAGGTCCCTTTGATGACGTTATAACCAAGTTCTACTGTAATTAGATGTGTCATTTTTGTCTCCTCTTTTAAATATAGGTCTTATTTTGAAAAATTCTAATCTTGTTGGAAATCTGCCAGTAATCAACATTCTGTTACATATATATAATATATAAGTTAAGGGGGAAGAAATATACTGAATACTACTTTTTAAAATTTTTGCTGATATCCAATCGTATCCATATGAGTTCTTTATTTGTAGTGGCCTTGTTATATCTTCTACTTTAGGTGATACCCATTTTAAATTTATAGCAGGAAAAGGTTGGGTAAATGCCTTGAATAAGTAAGTTTTAGAATTTGCACAATTGAGTATTCTGGTAGTTTCTTTGAATAGCCAAAACAAAGTATTTACTAAATGCATCATGTTGCATCATTTAACATCAGATTTAGATCATGTAATTATTGTAATCTTGCTTCCAATTGTACTGAGTTGGTTTAATCACATATAAATAATTTGTATTTTCAGGGTCTGAACTGCTTATTCTCATATTTCATTATCTGTGAAGTTGATAGTTGAGCCAGTTAAGTGGTTATCTCTACTGCAGTGGGGTATTAAAAGTCCACAAACCTTATATTTTTCTAGTTCAGCCAGATAATTTTAGATGTTTTACATCCTCTTCAAAATTTAATGTCTGAGCCATTTTTATCATGTTTTCCTTATTTTGAAAAATAAATGGCTAATGGGATCACCATGGTATGTATCCCTCTCCTATCAACTTTTGAATGCTTGAACCAGTTTTTAACATGAAACATGGAGACATTTTGAAAAACTTGGTTTAAGGAAAGTGCTGATATCGGCATATCTTGGCGAATAAAAATACTTGTAAGTAATGTAGACAGAATTAGTTTCTATGTAGTAAATGTGTTCTAAAGATAAAATGATAACATAGAAGACACTCGTTATAAAACAGGTGTCAGAAGACGGCTTCCATACCTGTGTTATAAGTGAGATTGTCATTTATTTATTTTTGGAGTCTATGTTGTTATGTAGGCAGCACTGATACAGTGATTAAAATATGTACATAAAATTTAAGAATTATTTCATACTGTAAATTCTAAATGGTTGTGGCAGTGTTGGACACTGAGGATTACTGGATGGACCAGTGATGGGGGTTACCTCTTTCTAATGCCCCCCCCCCCCCGAGCAGATATTTCCCACTGTGTAATTTGAGGATGAAAATGGATCCAGTTTCCGAAACCTTATTTCTTAGAATATCGAATGATGAACAAAATCCAAAAATTCAATAATCCTGAATTTCAGACTGTAGTCAAGCAATTTTGCCATTTGAACGAAGTAATCCTGACATTAGAGAAACCAGGGGACATGTGGTAGCATAGTTGCTTGAGGCATTATGCTACGCTTTGATTCCCAGTGTCGTTGAATTTTTAATTGACCTAATCCTTCCAGCTGCACTCTGGTCCTGGGGTTGACTCAGCTTCTAAAAGAAATGAGTACCAGGAATCTTTCTGGGGGGGCAAAGGGTGACTGGAGCATAAGGCTGATGTCACTGCCATATGTGAGCCAGTTGTCTAGAAAATGTGGGAGCCTTGATGTCTCAGAACCCTATGGGCCTCTATGGCATGCTACTGGGATAGCTTTACCCTTTATTTACAATATATATATATATATATATATTAGAGAAAGAAGGAACATACAACCTATTCATAATGGACTATGGATTTTGCACACTACAGCAAGGACTATTGCAGTACCATCTTACACTGTAAATAAAATGTTTCACAGAATTTGTATGTCATAAAACATTTGTAATCATTACAATTAATATGTTGTTGGACATTATCCATCATCTTGTCTGTTCTTAAAAAACCGTCCTGTTTCTTTTAAAAAACAAAACGTTTTGGGGACTGGATTCTGTCCCCGTCTTCAGGTAAAACCTACTCAGTTGGGTCCAATAGACAGAGCTAGCCCCTATCTTCGGATGGTTTTTTAAGAACAGACAAGATGATGGATAATGTCCAACAACATATTAATTGTATTAATCTACCATTGTCACAAACTTTTAGATCTTATTTGTAATCATATTAGGGAACATAATCAAAGCCAGAGTGTAATGAGAGCCTACTATACTAATGCTGTTGCTAACAACAGGTGTGCTATAGTCTTTTTGTTTATAAGGTTCTATAAGAAACAAATATAATGTGGATCCAAATACAGGGTTGTGCACTATGAGTAGCAAATATTATATAGCTGTGACCAATATAATCAACCTAAGAAAACAAACACAAATGAAGCATCCACACTAATAATATGGTATTCTCAAGAAAACACAGATGTTCAGTAGTACCTGACATTTCTGGCTGATTCCACAAATGGGTATGATACTGTTAAAAATAAAACCTATAGCCATGATATAATTATATATTAACAAATGTAAAAAATGATGTGTTGACAGTGTTTAGTAATTTGATATCCATGTGCTTATATCCAGTATTAGTGAAAAACTTGTAGACTACCCTAGTGCCCAGTATATATTTAAAAAAGGGAATTTAATTTAATGTAATGTTTCTTACCATACATAAGGTGTGTATGAAATTATTTTTATGGCTGCATTGAGATCACCTGAATGGCACTAGAAGGAAATATACCTGACATCAGCTGGGTTCCTCTCTCAAATAAAAGGTGAAGGGCATTTCATCTGTTCTGATAGTGGTAATGAGCTTCACTAATAACTATAAAAAAATGCCAGTAATGAAGATATAATGTAACAAAAAAACAGTAATTCCATCCCTTATACAAACTTTTTCTTTCTCACTTTTTATAGACCATACAAGAATTATTCTAATTCTATCCAGAATATTGAAGTATACCTAGAAAATCAGAGGTTAAACACATTTGAATGATATACTTGTTTCATGTTTAAGAGTTAATAGCGAGCAGCTAATCACCGTACAGCATACAAGCTTAGAGTTTCAGGTTAAGATAATCACGTATACATATTGGAATTGTCTGAATAATGGTAGAGTGAAGCTAGGATACTACTGCTGAAAGCAATGTGTAGATGTTTCTCTGCTTGCAGGAGTACTGAGGTTGATCATGACAGAAGGGAAAGAAGTGGCACCACAAAGCTTGATCTTAAGTGCCATAAAGAGTGAAATGCTCACTCATGAACTCGGCATAGAAGAAGGGGAAATAGGACTACAGCGTGTTCCGCTTGCTTATCCCAAGCAGGTTGGTCTACCTGCATCGCTTTTCAGTACTATTGCATATTATTAATAATACAGTATAAATTTAAGTACTAAGCAATGCCTGTTTAGCTGTTAAACTTCAGAGAACTATAATTACTCTGCCTGTCCCTTGTTCTCCTTCTTTTAGTGATATCAGACTTTTCTCTTCTACACTCACATGTGTGTTCATATTTCTCTCTGCCTACCCATTTGTCTCTTTAATCCCTTTCTTTCCTTCAGTTCCTCTTTCTTTATATATACTTACTTCCTAGGTTATATAAAGTTCAATGACCTGGGTGATTACAAATAATGGAGATGAATGTAACTGGTAATGGATTGGTGTTAAGGTACTACAGCAGCATTTTACTAGGTGGATTGCATGATAAACTTGTCAAGTTGCTGTCTTGTGGATCAGGTTTGGAAGTGAAACCTTGCAGATATGAGGCAAACCATCCAATTAGCCTGTTCTATTGGATTAATATTAATTGGATCCTTGACATCATTGGAGAAAATAGTATGTGGACCTTTAAAATACACTTCTTTGTAATACTGTAATTATTATTGGGAATTGGTCTGTTTCAGCATGTCAGATGTGCTTGAATTGAATCCTGGAAATGACACATGATTTCTTCAGCGTCCCCCCCCCCTTTCCCAATGGATTTACAATCTGTGTTATGTGGGCCTCCAGGTACTGAGGATAGCTGCGAATATATTGAATAAGCAGTTGCGGACAGCCGACAAGGGATGGTCCTCCAGCTATGGGTTGGGCATGGGGCTAACTCCTCACTGTAAAAAATAAGCTTGTTACAGAATGTCACAAATGGTCTCAGGCTTGGATGGATTCTTTAGATAAATGAGCTAAGCTAAGAAAAATGGACTTGAGATTAGATACATGGAATGTAAGAAGTCTGTATAGGGCAGGTTCTATAAAAAGAGAAATGAGAAACATAAATTAGGTATCAGTATTTTGTACATAAGAAAATCATATCAGCAGTTAAGAGGGTAGAGTTTGTTAGTGATAGGATGTCGTACATAACACTAAGAGGTGACCAGTGTGATATCATTTTTCTGAATGTTCATGCCCCAACAGAAGATAAAAATCGATGATATGAAGAACAGGTTCTGTGAGGAACTAGAACTTTTATTTGCTAAATTCCCTAAATACAACATGAAAATTCTGTTAGGAGATTTCCATGCCAAAGCAGATATGGAAGATAATTTCAAACCAACATTTGGGAATGAGAGGGTACATGAAATTGGTAATGATAATGGAGTTGGAGTAATAAATTTTGACACATCCAAAAATGTGACTGTCAAAAGTGCAATGTTCCCACATTGTAATGTTCATAAATTTACTTGGACATCTCCAGATGGAAAGATTCAACAGTCAAATTGACCATCTGCCATCATGTCACAATATTCATGACTGGAGTTGTTTCATATGCAAGGAAAGTGATGTTTTACTTGAATTATATATATTTCAGGATATTATTGTTGAAGTGCCTCTCATAAATGGTGAACCACCAGCAACATTGAATTCTTCAAGAGATTGTGATGCCTCAAATCTCCTGCAGTCTGAGGTAAAGTAGTTTTAAAATGAATCATCCAAAGGGCCCATTGTATATTTAGCAACAGTGATATATTATACATACATCACATATTCTAGGCTTATGTATGGAACCAGTGGTTATGTTCCATGGATATTGTACAGCATCAAGGGGCTATTCTAATTCCTGAGTGCAATATGAGTAACATGTTTCATTTTGTCAACTACATTATCCTTTTACACAAGGATTATTAGCAAGGTGGGGGTGATCAAGACCTATAAATCGTAACCATAGCATTAGAGTTATATTTAGTAAAGAAAATCCAATATAATATTGTATATGAAATGTTATTTCAGAAGCTATTTATGTAAAAATTAACTCTTTCTTTTCGGTCATATCTGAACCACAATATTTTTATTTTTTATGCCAAATTGTATGAATTAAGATATTTGTATAGCATCTAATTTCTATAGAGTTATCAGTTTTTATATTGAAAATTGTTTGTACAGGTAGCATGTGGGATCACAGCAGAAAAAGGAAAGCATTTCTATGAGGGAAATGAAGCTGTACAGTATAAGCAAGAAGGCAGTGTGCAGGGCATGACTCCCAAAGAAGAGCAAATCAGGAAACGTAGAGAACAAAATAGGTTTAGAATGAGAGCACTACGGGCATCTGAATCAGAGGTGGCCCAGAGACTAAGGGAACGTAACAAGTTCAGAATGAGAACTCTTCGTGCATCAGATTCTCAGGTTGCTAGAAGTCTCAGAGAACGCAACAAATACCGAATGAGAGAAATTCGTTCTTCTGAATCTCGATTAACTTGCAGACTTGTAGAAGGCAGCGCTTTGCATGCAGAGTCTACTCAAGGAGAAGAATGCGTGCCAAATGATATAAAAATACAAGAACACTATTTAGGACAAGGGCAGGGTGTACATATTACAGGAATGGTTGATAACTCTTGGAGAACAGGCATCAGGGTTGATCTTGTAAATGTTTATACCGAAGGAAATAAATTTCCATGGGTATGTGTGGAGAAAGGTTCTCAGCAAAACAAGTCATTCAGTGTTCAAGGATCCCAAGATGTAAAGCAGAGTGCATTTGAACAGTCTCTTAATGGAGTAGTACACAAGGCTAAATCAGTCCCTTACGAGTGCATTCCAGCAAACAGAAATAACTGCAGGCACAATATATATGACAAAAACGAATTTCATGCTGCTGAAAGTGAAGGCAAGGGGAGTACAAAATCTGAGGTGGAATACCTGAACAGTGTGGTGAACTGTGCGCAGTGTGATGGATTTGTAATGAGAAGTCAAGAAGTAGGAATATGTGCTGTCAGCAGCTGTCAGCAGCAACATAAAAATACATGTACTGTTCATATGAAAAGCAAAGAAAGTTTTGAGGGCCAGGGGTCAGTAACAGTAGGAGATGAAGCTCAGGGTGATATCTCTCAGTGGAAAGAGAAGTTTAGTTCACATTTTGTGACATTTGATGGTGAAATTACAAAACAAACCAAGGTATTAATAAAAGACGTTCCATCTGAAATAAGGGAAATGACTGTACCCCAAATATTTGATCTGGCTGAGAAACGGAGGGAAAAAGGGAAGCTAAGAATGAGACTTAAACGACATTCAGAAACAGAGGAAGAAGCTGAGCGAAGGAGGGAACGTGGTCGGTTGCGAATGAGAGTATTACGAGCATCAGAAACTGAGGAACAGGCTGCAAGACGTAGGGAACTTAATAGGTTGCGAATGAGAATGAAACGTAGCTCTGCAAGACACTGATGTTTGAATTTTTCCATTATGTTAATTCCAGTCATTGTTTATGGACATACAGAGTATTTAGTAATTATTGTGTATATTCATGTAGAGCTTTAAATTAATTTGGATATAATTAATATATAAAGAGACACAATTAACCTACACATTGCAGTAGCTTTCATTGAAATAACCGCAGAAAATTACATTGATAAAATTAATAACACCAAAAGCTATATGCTTTGGACTTCAGTTGTTAAAACAAAGCCGATTATTATATCAAAATAAAATGCTTACTGATTAATAGTTGAAGAATATAAAGCTTAAAAAAATAAAATAATATATTCAGTCTTAATCATTTGCACCATGTTGTCTGTCATAGTGTGGTTGACACAAAACAGGAATATTATTCAGCAGTAGGAAGAAAACATCCATACAAAAGAGACACATACTCCAAAGAGAAAATAACTCCACCACAATACGACATAAGAAAATCAGGAAGAAATACATATAGAACTAGAAACAACAATTGTGAGTAATTATTCATAACATATGAAACAAACATTAACAATCAATCCCAGAAGACATCATCACCCTCTAATATACAAGCATCACAGAAACCCACATTGTATCGATGAGGTATAAACACTAATTTAAACAATTTTAGTCCTAAGGTTAACTATAATATCAGAAATACCAATGTATGTTATAATGAGATTAGGAATCAACAGTTTTTAAAATAATACTTATATGGATCCATATTAGGACAATTCAGTAACAAGCACATATTTAAGAAACTGCCTGATGATCCAAACAGGGATCGAAACATGTAGCAGATGCTAAATAAAACCAGTGTTAGTACAATAATATTGAACTGGTTTATTGGCAAATTTGTTTACGGCCAAAAAAAAGAACATGTAATATATTCAGTCCTTTATATTTTGATGCATCCATTATTTCAAAGTTTCAAGTTAGAAATATATGTAGATGCATGAAAATATTTTAAAGCTTTTCATATAATGCTGTTATACAGAGGGACTATTTATCAGCTATGCCCATTCAGTGTGTTAGTTACTGGTCCATAATCCTCACACTCAAGGCATACCAAACAAAACCAGAAGAAAAATGTGGCTACTTGGGATGAAGCTCATCACTATGAACTGGCCAAATATACCCGTTATGGAAATTACTGGATCATGTTCCTGTAAATTGTGCACGTCTGGTGTTATGTAAAGCTGTGGTTTCAATAATTTTGTTGCAGTCCTACAGAGTTCCCTTCATGTTTAAGACAGATAAGTTTACCTCAGAGCACTGAGTGCTTTATATGAATGTGTGAAATGTAAATGTGTTGGCATGTCTCTGAAAAAATCTGGAAGAAAGTTAGCTTGGGTTCATGTTCTCTACAGAAATATTATTCAGAAGCTTGTCATTAGAGAAAAGCAACTGGCATATAATGGGAAAACAGAAAGACAGTATTAGTGCTTAGCCTGAACATTTGGTTTATAAGCCTCTTAAGGACCGTGTCAGAAACATGACTATCAAAAGATGCTGCAAGCTCTGCAACAGAATTATTGAAACTATCGTCTTATAAAGCTGCAGTTGTACCCCCTGCAGCCGTGTAACCAGTAATTTCTTTAATATTACAAACTTTCCTGTGTGCTAGAAAGTTTTATTTAATAGTTTTTTTTCATCTTTCACTATAATAGATCTTACATTAAGTAAAGTAAAAAAGGTAAAGCTATCCCTGTAACCGGCCATGAAGGTCCATAGGGTTGTGAAATGTTGAGGATCCCGCATTATCTAGACAATCAGCTCAAAGATGGTGGTAAGGTTGTCACCCTTACGCGCCGGCCGCGCTTTACTCCCCAGGAAGATTATTTAATTAATTCCTGGTACTCATTTCTGTTAGAGGCTGAGTCGATCCCAGGGCCATGAATGAATGTATAAGGGGTGGGCCTTCTTGGCCCTTGCACCGTGACCACAGGGCCATAGTGCAGCTAGAAGGATTAGGTAAATTGAAAAAAATCCAATGACCTCATCGGGACTTGAACCCGTGGCCTTCCAGCTTGTAGCATAGTGCTTCAACCAACTATGCTACTGCATACCCATACATTAACTAATGTATTTTCATATATAATGGACAGATTTTATGCATATAGAAGTTGTTACAGGGAGTGAATATGTGGTTTTGTATTGCCTCCTTGTTCATGTGTAAAATTATTAGGGCACTTACTGAGGATGTTGCTTTTATTTTAAATGGGTTGTATCTGTCTAAATAAATAATGTTTTCTTCATATTGTACAGTTATTACATTAATTAGAATTTTATTTTACTGCAGTTACTATCCTCACTTAAACACTGTGTAAAGATAAACAATTTCGAAAATGGCCTTGTAGGCCAAAATACATCTCTCGATATTTTTACTACATAATTTTCTGCAGAGTTAATTTAATGAAAGCCACTGTTGTATGTAGACTGAGCACATTCTATTTGTGTAGTAGGTATATTCAGCTGGGCAACTTGTCTTGAATATGATAGGTGGCTGTTAATTTCACTATAAATTACTGCAATCTGCTAGAGCACTGAAAAAAGAAAATGCCAGGGCTTTGAGGAAGACCAGCAGGGAGTGATACAGTTACAGTGATGTACTAATAAGATTGAATCAGGTTTAAATTACCATAAATTATAAAGTAGTGTTCTCATCTTAAGGCCTTTATCATTGGTATACTTATTCTTTATCCTCTGTGTAGTATACACATATTTGTGGCTAAGCCTTCATTAAGAAATCACTGCTTGCTTTTATCATGAAGTGCAAATTACCTTGTTATAGAGAACAACCTTGTAGACCTTGTGACAGGATTTGTAAATACATGGGAAAGCTGTTTTTAATATGCTCATAGTGGTTCTTTTGACTATGGAGCCACTTACAGTAATCCACATCGTTAGAAAAAGAGATCCCACAGTAATGGATTCCTCCTAACCTGGGGACGCTGAATCTTGTATTATGGCTTTTAAGGGGAGTTAGGATAGCTCAGTCAGTATAGTGACTGGCTACGGGCTGGATGACTGAGGGGTCGGAGTTTGGGGGCTCACCCAGCCTCCTATCCGATGGATACTGAAGAATCTTTCTCCAGGAGTAATGCAGCCGGGGCATGAAGCTGACCACTTATCTCCAACTAGTGCTGAGGTCAAGAAAATGTGGATCTATATATCTGCTCCCCCGTACACCTTCGTGGCATAGTGCTTAATTATTTAAGTCCAAGGACAGCTTTACTTTTACCTTATGGTGCTGTAGGACACATCATTAACAGATCTAGACACATGGGTTGAATTCTTTGACATGCTGTATTGGAGAGGTCTGTAAACTGAGATAACTTTGGTCAAACTTTCACTAGTTTCTCTGCATGGTAAATACTTTTTAAAATTATTATATAAGAAAAGTGTTGAAGCACTTGTTTCATCTTACTACTGAGAAGGAGATAACCACAGTCTCAAATACGAATTTACTGGTGCACAGACACTTGTTTACTAGAGTTACTGACACTGTAATACAGATGTCTGGATGAAAGGTATCCAAAATAAAATAACTATTATACACATTTATGGGTTACACCATTACAAAGGGAAACTATCAAAGTTATTTCTGGATATATAACTTTCTCAATAAATTTCGTTGAAAATGTGGCACAGTTCAAATATTTGGGAACGATAACAGATCGAAACCTGATTCAGTATGAAATTAAGAGGAGCTTGAACTTGGGTAATGCTTGCTACCATTCAGTCCAGAACCTTTTGTCTTCTCGTCTGCTGTCCAAATATAGAAAACTATAATTTTGCCTGTGGTTTTGTATGGGTGTAAAACTTGGTCTATGACATTAAGGGAGGAACATAGACTGAGGGTGTTGAGAATATTTGGACCGAAGAGAGATGAAGTGACAGGAGTTTGGAGAAAACTGCACAATGAGAAGCTTCATAACTTGTACTCTTCTCCAAGTATAATTATAATGATTAAGTCGAGGATTAGGTGGGCAAGGCATGTAGCACGAATGGGGGAGACAAGGAATACGTATAGGATATTGGTGGGAAAGCCACAAGGAAAGAGACCACTGGGAAAACCAAGGTGTAGGTGGGTGGACAATATTAAAATGGATCTTGGTGAGATAGGATGGGATTATATGGATTGGACTGATCTGGCTCAGGATAGTGACCAGTGGAGGGCTCTTGTGAACACGGTAATGAACCTTTGGGTTCCATAAAATGCTGGGAAATTCTTCAGTAGCTGCACAATTGGCAGCTGCTTCAGAAGGGCTCAGCTCCATGAGTAAGTAAGTAAATGAGCTCACCTGGTGGCACAACAAACCTCATTCCACATTGCTTGAAGCATGTTTGGTGTTACCATAGCCACAGAATCCCTTATGTGGGCTTTCAGGTGTAGACCAATGTTCTTCACATAACCCCACAAGAAAAAATCCAATTGGGTTAAATCTGGTGACCTAGGAGGCCAAGTGATTGGCCAACCTCTACCCAGTTATCTCTCTGTCCAGGTGATTCCTAACATAGTGGCAGCAACCTATCTTCTTGGAGGATAGTTTGAGGTGGTAACTGGGGCAGCGATACAGCTGCAGCATGTCCAAGTATGAACATCCAATAAGTCTTTTGAAAAAGAAAAACGGTCCAATGAATTTGTTGTGCAACTCAATGTGACATATGCTGACTGCCCAAAGTCCTGTAGTTGTACCCATTTACAACTCTACTGACACGGAACATCTCATCAGATCAGCATGCTTGGTGGAGGGAATCGGGTGATGCATCAATTCTTTCTAGCGTGTCCACAGCGAAGTTTATGCGTGCTACTTGGTCACTCAGTTTTAGTGCATGAATGATATGAATCCCCTATGCTCTTAGGCAGAGCCTTTTGTGTAGCACATCATGCACTGTTGAATGTGGAATTTGTAACTGCAAGGTAGCAGCACGAATTAATTTGAGCAGACTTCGCTGGAATGCCTCTCTAATGCGACTAACATTTTCTTTAGAGGTCCATGTCTTTCCAGATTTTACATGCAACAGACTACCTGTAGTCCTCAGTATGATGTCTCAGAACCAAATGCTTTTCCATTTAGGAGGTTCATGTCCATACTGCATTCTAAAACAATGCTGGACATCCATAAGAGATTGCAACTCTGCTAGCCAAAATACACATTAAACCTGTTCCTGTGGTGTTTACATCATTACTGAGCTTGCCGAAGGTCACAAGCTAGCTCATGTGTGTAAGCTGCGCATGAAAAAAGTGTCAGTTTTGCTATCCAATGACATAAACCAGATATGCATATGACAATTAGTTTCTGAGGTATACATTTTTTATTTTGGACATCTTGTATGTGACCTGTCAGTGCTATGAGGAGGAAGTTGGAAGTTGCCATTATTTATATATGATGGAAGAAAATATGCTTATTTTCCTGATTTCATGACTTACAAGCTTAGGTGTGTTTGATTTAGCTCTCCTTTGATTCTGCAGCTGCTTCTGTTAGCTTATAATATTCTGGAATACTTAAGGTTGTCTGTGCTGCACTAGCACTGAATGTGTTTAAGATTTTAAACCTTCACAGAAGGTATCAGAATTTTTTTTTACTATTTGTGGTCATACATATATCTTGGCAGTCTGACTGGGGTCAGGTTGGATGCCCATACCATTGATATTATGTCCATTTTATCAAAAACTGACAGCCCTCTGCCATATAATATTCCAGTGTACTTGTACAAGGTTCCTTCTGTCTTTTTTTTCAAAAGCTGCATGAAATTGATATACTGTTACGGTTTGGTATTGACTGTGATGATCCAAATCTGAAATGTGGTTTCTCTTGGAAGACCATTTGTAACCAAGATCCTTAATTACAGCAACTGATCATAATAAATTATATCCACTCCACTGTATTTTGTCTTCACTTTATCTCCCCCTTACTTCCTTCACAACACACCTTATGAATGTGAAACTATTGATCATACTGTCCAGATGCAATGGATAAGTGTTCATCTTATGGATATACACACAGTTGATTTGCCCTGCTTTGTATGTAAAAGGTGGTACACGTAGATAATCCAAGTGCCTTTCTTGATGCAGATACTTGGTGTTCTCCATTTTGATGATTGTTGTAGTTCACTGAAATACTTCCTGGATCTGTACCAGAAGTGTTGCATCATCTGTTATATAAGTTCTGACCTGGTTAACCTTTTTTCATGACTGAATAATAAGTCTGGTAGAGCTGGGGATGAGCCATCTGCCAAGAAAAATGCAGGGGTGAGAGAGGAAATGCCAGATGGATTACTGGTGGAGCAATGGCCTGGAGTCTATAAGTCTATTTGTGCTCAAAATGTTCCTGTCACCCTGCACATATGCCTTGTGATATGACACTTCTCAAGAGTCTGTCCATATATAGAGCATGCAAGGGTATGAAATGTCACTTAATTCCAAACTCTTGCCAAACCTGCTTGAACATATTCTGAGTGGAATAATCTTGCTGAGATCCTAGTCTTCATTCAGCTGCTATGAAAGTTGCAGTTGTTAGACCAACTAGTTCAAGATACAGGGTTCCTCTCACAAAACAGAAAAACATATCAATGCATGCCTAAGGTGTCACTTTCCCTCTTCCCTTTCCTTGATAAAATTTGAAATGCCCATGGTAATATATGCCTGTATGCATGAAAAAGCAAGAAGGCTGAATCCTACTTGGTAATCATTACTAGTTTTGATGAGCCACTGACAGTCTTTTCTTGTTGCACTGAGAGGTCAATACTGTTGTCAAACTGAAGGGAGCATTGCTGGTAGCATGGCATGTAATGTGTGTTCATGAGCCACTTTCATTCTTGTGACATGACACTTATTTGGATGAACAGTTTGGCGTTTTTGATGTGGGAAGACTGGAGCCTCATAAGCAAATGTACACGATGATTATTCCATTAGAATTGAGAAGCGTGTTCAGTGCACAGAGCTAGCCAATTTGAGAGAATGCTTCCTTCTGTTTGACTCCGAAGATTGCAAGCTTGGCTGAATGCCATACAGCCATTTACAAGAACAAAACAAAAAAGATCACAATTTTTTGCCGTATACGGGTGATAAATCTAGATTCTTTTGCCGCTATGTTGTTAAAAATACTTAAGTCTTGTGGGAAACATTTCATCCAGGTTATAATAGAAAGAAACATACTAAGTGGAGGAAAAGAATTTCCATATTTGCCAATTTTTCTGGCTATACACATTTCTTCATTGCAGTAGGGTCTCAGCAGATGACCTATATAGTTCAAATCTACCATCTGCACCAGGGACTGTTATGTTAAAAATTATTAGTCTTCACAAAATGCCGCAGAATTACACATTTACATAAATGTGAATCTGGTTGAAGATGGTACAAAATTACCAAGATAAAAAAAAAGCACTTCAGCTGGAATGAAAACAAAATATGACACCTGAAACCAGGATATGGGGATGTACTTACTGCTCCAAAGGATAAAAGGGTGGTGCTTATGTGTTGTGCAAGGCATTTTCACACACTGCTGTGTTGGAAGGTGTCAGGAAAAATGAATAGAAGACAATTTTTCAAAATCCAAGTGCCATTACCAACTACATATATAAGAGTAAAGTTTGGAGGAAAATAATACTATAAGCTAAGAGCAACTTGAAACAAGGACCTCAGAAGCAGAATTTTGATTGTCAAATGATGCAACTGAAAAATAATGGAAAAACTACATTCATGTGAAGCAGAACAGCAACTCAGAACACTGAAGTGGGTTCTGATTGAACAGTCAAGGAAGGACAGAAACCAAGAAACTTGTTGCTGTATACAGTTTTGGAGTAAGAAACCTCCCTTGTAAAATTATTAAATATCTCCATGGAAATAGGTATCCCTTATTTACTAGAGTACCAGAGACTGAACCAAAATTAACATCTGATCCCTCTGCTTGTTGGTCGAATCCTTTGTCAAGCAACAGTAGGCACTACCCTCTGACATTTCTATTATCTGTACAAAACTGATAACAAATGAGATCACAGTCATTTACTATGTATTCAAAGTAAACTAAATTTGTATCAACTGAGTGATTATCTATTTACTGTTACTTCACATTTAGAAAAGTACACGTACTCTGTAAAACTAAATAACAGGAAACATTCATTTCTGCAGTGTTTCTCAATTTGCCCAATGGCAAGCAAATTACAGAAATCATTGCATCAGAAATTCTGTCAACTTCATAGTCTTACATCCATACTCATTACAGGGCTTTCAGCTGAGATGGAAACATGCTGTTTGCCAGGGCACAGTGGAAGTTTATTTCATGACCATAGAGGGAACGGCACAGGTATTTCCCCTGCATTGGACAATGACTCTACTTGAACAGAACATGATTACTCATTATTCCAGAAATACAACATAAATTTACCATACTGTAACATTTATCACTATTTAGAACAGTTACTGTCTCACCATCGGTAGTCACGATCTTGACGTCAGTCTGTCTTGTCCATCACTACTGTAATGACATTCCTCGTCTAGGTAACATATGTAACTAATGATCTGTCTGGTAATAGCATCAAAATATGCTACTAACCCAAGCCCACCATTTGCTGTTTTTGTTCTTATCCAATTCCATTCACATCATCAGAATAAACCACTGTAAAATCCATTTAATATTATCCCACCTCCTGTGTCATCCAATTTGCCAATTCAATCAAAACTGTGGAAGGAACCTATCCAGCCATTAAAACATCTGCATTGTGTATACTGCCTCTACAGTTGCCTTTTCAGTAATTTTTGCTGTCAACACAAGGCCTGTGTAATTACTGAAGTTCTTTGTTAGCACAAACAACATAATTTAAATGCTAGTGTTAATGACTGCCTTCATTTCTAAACCATATAACATGCAGGTACAATAGGCCAATCAGTGGCCGCTGTGCCGAGTGGACCCAGCTGGACTCCACCCCCCACTAAGCGAAACCACATAACATACTGCCTGTTCTCCCGGCAACAAATTTTCATTTCCTGAAACAGTCTCATGATTATAAGAAGCACAATGTTAGGAGGTTGTATGATGCAATGTAATCAGAATTGTGAGAATGAAGTTCTTTGATTTTGTGCCTAATCAGATATTACAAACATTATTTTAGTCATCACACAGAAGTTTACTACAAATTTTATTTCTGTCTGCACAACCATGTAACAGTTATTCTGGGTATAGTGCCTATGATAGGGGTCATAATTTAAAATTAAAGAATTATAACAATAGTAAAGATAATATTCTTCCATCTTTATGATAAACATAGTCTTCAGTAAAACATCTTCAAGCCACAGCCAATATGTGATGAAAGACTGTTCAGAAAACATACAGATATGTTAGGGAAGAGGAAAATCTGATGAGATATTTCTGCACAAAGTACAGATTTAGATAGAGGAAGGAGTGTAATGAGTATCCATTTGACATCTATTTTTCTCACATGGAAAGTCTTGGGAATATCTTATATATGTCAGCACATTATTATTTCATTTTACAGTTCATGAAAATCACTGGAGAGACACTTTCCCTGCAGCACAATCCAAAAAATCACTCCTTAGATATACTTCACCAAAGCTATTTAAAGTAACAAGTGTTCCCTAAACAAACCAGTGAAATCTGTAGTATATCTGAAGTATTCATAAAGGGTACTTAAGAAAACTATTACCTGAAAATCATCAATATATAAGCAAATGAGGACTACCACTAAAATTACTGCACTATTCCAAAACAAATAATTTAACAACCAAACTTTAAAAATTACATTACCGTGTTATTCAGAATACTGATATACTGTGAATAATTCAAGGGCAACCAGGAGTGAAACAAACCAAACCACAACATTTGTGCTGATTTAGATAATGAAAGTGAAAATAAAAAATTGACGCTTAGCACATATATAATATTCTCTTCAATACAAACAGAACATTTGCATACTACAAAAAATGTGATCTTGTGTTTACAATTTCAGGAAGAATAAAATAATTGTAACCACCTTCAAGTCTGTTTTTCCAATGTGTAACTGCACTTATCCCTGTGAATCTTCCTTCACTGGACTCAGTTTCACAGTACATGGGTGGTTTTTGCTAATATGTCGCTTTAGGCTACTTTTACGGGTAAACGCTTGGTTGCATGTGGAGCAAATGTGAGGCTTCTCACCTGAATGGACAGACTGGTGTGCAGTGAGGTTACCCTTGTCACTGAAGGCTTTCATACACATCTCACATCTATATGGTTTCTCTCCACTATGTGTCCTTCTGTGGACAATTAGATTGCCTATGGTAGTGAAATGCTTGTTACACACTGGACACTGATGTGGACGATCACCTGTATGAACTCTAGTGTGATTTGTCAGGGTGCTCCTGCATTTAAACGTTTTTCCACATATGCTGCACTGGTGGGGTTTCTCTTGGGAGTGTAATGTGACATGTGATGCTAGATTTGACTTAAATTTAAATGATTTGCCACATATTGAGCACTGGTGTCTTCGGTCTTCTGAATGAGACACACAATGTGTCACTAAATTAGACTTGCTATTAAATGATTTACCACATATATTGCAAAGATGAGGATTACTATTTAAATGCAATGTTTTATGATTACAAAGATTAGATTTATACTTAAAGCACTTACCACATAATGGACATTGGTATGGTCTGTCTTCAGAATGTGCTGCAACATGATTCATTAAAGTTGACTTATTGCTAAATGATTTACCACATAATTTGCAGGCAAGGGCTCCATTCTCAGCATGCATTCCCCTATGATTACAAAGGTTTGACCTGTGTTTGAAGCGTTTGCCACACACTTTACATTCATGTGGCCTGTCCTCTGAATGTGTGGCAAGATGGCTTGTGAACTTTGATTTACACCCAAATGACTTACCACATGTTGTGCAAAGATGTGGTTTCTCTTTTGAATGCAAAGTACAGTGTTCAATGAGGTTTGACTTGTACTTGAAAGATTTTCCACATATTGTGCAAAGGTGGGCTCTATCTTGTGAATGCAATGCTTGGTGAACAATGAGGTTGTACTTGGCTTTGAAAGACTTTCCACAAACTGCACAAAGGTGTGGGCGCTCCCCCATGTGCACTGTGTTATGCTCCAAAAGGAGCGATTCATCCTTGAAGCATTTCCCACACTCACGACAATGAAATGGCATCTCATCCAAATGGGACAAAATATGATCCATGTGATCAGATTTATAACTGAAAACTCTTCCACATACATTACACTGGTTTTTGGTCTCTCGTGAATGCAATGCTATGTGACTAATTAGGTTGGACCTGTACTTAAATGACTTGCCACAGTGGGAGCAAAGATGCAGCCTGTCTTTTGAGTGCGCTGCAAGATGTTGCTTTAGATTTGATTTACAACTAAAGGACTTCCCACATTCCATGCAATGATGAGCCTGTCTGTCATGGATGCCTTTATGATTGAATAGATTTGACCGATGTCTGAAGGCTTTCCCACACACTTCACAGCAGTATCTCTTGTCTTCTGAATGTAAAATGAGATGTCTTTTCAAGTCTTTTTCTGTAGGAAAGTCTTTGCAGCATACAGTACAAGTATTCTGGAGTAAAGGCTTGCTACTGCTTGGCACATGTGAAGTACTGGGAATAATAACTTCTTGCACATTCTCTTTCCCACTTCGTTCAAGTGCTTCATACTTAGACTTCTTTGACAATTCACCATCTGTAGTGTTTGCTACTACACAGATTACACTTTCTTCCATATTATCATACAGACTTGTACCATCTTTGTAGAGTGCTTCATTTGAATCAGACACAAGGCATTCATCATTTGCTTCAGTACAAATGGGCTGAAAATGGAAAATAAACTGCACTGACTATCCGGTATAATGTCATGCATGATATAAAGTCCTCAAATTATTCAACAAAATTTTAGGGTTGCCGGCAGTCAACGAGAACTTACTTGAAATGGGTCAAGGAACTCATTTTAGCTACAACAGTTAATAAGTCGATCAAAATGTTCAAATTATTTATTACTGTATATTCAGTAAGGTTTCTTACCTTTTTTTTCTTTGTAACTTTAATGGAATAATGCCTCCAGTTCCATATGTACAGGACAGTAAAAGTTTTGGGGATCAATTATAAATACTGGATATTAACCAATAACAAACCACGACCAAATGCTGAAGACAACAGATACAGTTACAGACAAGAAAAGATCAGGGAAACCATCAAACTCGTGAACTCCTCAGTACATAGTGAAGATTAACAAAATGGAAAAGATCGGGGCAACCATCAAACTAATGAACTCCTCAGTACATAGTGAGGATTAACAAAATGGAAAAGATCAGGGCAACCATCAAACTCGTGAACTCCTCAGTACATAGTGAGGATTAACAAAATGGAAAAGATCAGGGCAACCATCAAACTCGTGAACTCCTCAGTACATAGTCAGGATTAACAAAATGTTTATGAGAAGTCATACAGAACCAATTCATGTAGATGCTCATAAAAATGGCTTACAGATTACACAAAGTAGACAATTCTGAAAACCTATTCCCCCTTGAAACCCTGGAAATAGCATTATGTGCAACTACTGTTTGCAGAGAACTGTGACACAAGAATGGAATTAACAGAATTTTGTAGCCACAATTACTGGGGAACATAAGTAATGTGACAAAGCAGTTTCTTGTGTTCATGGTTATATGTCAATCAGCAGATTTATTATTACTGGGCAAAAGTGAATACAGACAAGTGTGTGGTAAAGGTAGAGAGCGATACAAAAATGATGGTTTGGTGTGGAATGACACTGACAAATGTCTTTCTATATATGGTGAATGTTGCATGGAATTTTGATATATTAAATAACAAAGCATGACCAATCATCTCGCAATGGTATAATGCTGAAAATCTTCACTTTATGTTGATGGGGCTCACACTAACTGATGATGATGATGATGACGAAGATGTATGAGAGTGGCTGCACCAACACTTTCAAGTAGGTGAACTGAAGACATGGCTTCTTGAAGGGCCTCCCTGTAGCCCTAACATAATACTGTGATTTCATCCTGTAGGATCTGACAAAGGAAGAACTACATTCAACATATAAAAAATGTGGCAGAACCTAAAGACACAATAACCAATGTTGTGAACAGTATTCCAAAAGACATGTGAGAAGCAGTGACAAACATCCTAATTCAACTAAGAAAGTTGTTGAAAATGCAAAAATCTATGAGGATGATTAAAGCCAGTGGCATAAAATCTTACTGAACTATCACTGGCAGCCTGTTCTGATCAGTTATGTAAAGAATCAAATGATCTGCAAGAACTCCAGGAGAGACTTCGATTTATTTCATATCCCGTTGTTTTCAAAACACCAGAACTCAGAGAAATGTATGTAACAAGATCTCTACAGTATGGTCAGAAAATCTGGGGGGGGGGGACCAACAAGAAAACCCTCTAATATCACAGATACTTAGCATCACAATCAAAAATATCAAAACCAGGGAACGTATTTCCATTGTTGTGTTTCCGTGAGTTTACGGTTTTGTGATGGCTGACCTGAGAGAACAGCGTGTCTGTATAAAGTTTTGTTTCAAACTTGGGAAAACCGCTGCAGAAACGCACCAAATGTTGAAGCAAGCTTTTGGTGAATACAGTTTAGGCCATACACAAACTTACAACTGGTATAAGCGTTTTAAAAATGGCCGAATATTGACTGATGATGACGATCATTTGGGACGGCCGTCAACGGCCAAAACACCAGAAAATGTCGCGAAAGTTAGGGATCTGATTCTGCAACATCGTAGATTGACCATCCAAGACCTCTGTAACACCTTGGGACTAAGTTATGGTACATGTCAACGAATTTTGTCAGAGGAACTGAACATGAGGAGGATTGCGGTGAAGTCTGTGCCATGACTGCTGCAAAATGAACAGAAGCAGCATTGCTTGGAAGTCTGCAGGGAACTTCAGCAACAGCTTCAAGAGGGTCCAAACTTTCTTTCGAAGGTTGTCACTGGTAATGAAAGTTGGGTTTATGGCTACGACCCTGAAAGCAAGCAGTAATCATCGCAATGGAAGAGACCTTCTTCACCTCAGCCAAAAAAAGCTCGACAAGTCAAGAGCAACATTAAGTCCATGTTGATCTCTTTTTTTGATATTGACAGGATTGTTCATAAGGAGTTCATCCCTCCTAGTCAGACAGTCAATAAAGAGTTCTATCGCGATGTTCTAAGGCGTTTGAAGGAGAACGTGAGGAGAAAACGTCCAGAGAAGTAGCGCACAAACGACGGGTACTCCACCATGACAACGCACGACCACGTACGGCTTACAATGTGCAGGAATTTTTGGCTAAAAACAAGATGGCAGTTGTTCCCCACCCACCCACCGTACTTGCCAGACTTAGCTCCATGTGACTTCTTTCTCTTCCCGAAGATGAAATCAAGTTGAAGGGGCGAAGATTTGATACAGTTGAGGAAATTCAAGCGGAAACACAGATGGTACTAAACACCCTAACAAAGAAAGACTTCCAGGATGCATTTGAAAAGTGGCAAACGCTGGGATCGGTGTATGCACTCCCAAGGTGAATACTATGAAGGTGATGGTGCAGAATAAGATCCAGGTAAGATGTAATAGTTTTTATTAATATATTTCGGGAACTTTTGGATTGCACCACGTATTTATAATATCAAAACATTCCAAACGTAAAGAGTCTAGTTTCCATCCAGCCAGCCTTCTGCTATGAAATAAAGCTTCCAAGCAACTGCCATGTTATCATATACAGTTTGTAACAAAAAGAGACTTCAACAAAAGCGCTGCATAATGATAGGAGTGGGGTTACATAATGTCACTCGTGGAAACACAGCATTTACGTGACCCCTACTTCCTGCTGCGCCATCCACATCACAAAACTTTACAAAGAAAAACTGTCATTAGTAACTTCAAAGCATTATTACTCAGACAATTAGAAGTATGGCACTTGGCAATCCACCAATGCACACTTTCCTCTTGTGCAACATAAAACTAAACCAGCTCATTAAAATGTATCAGAGGTAAACACATACAGACAAGAAGTAGCATCTTATAGGCTAATCTTTTTTCTTCTTTCTGAGATTTATTATAAATGATGGTAATGGTAGTTATGGGAAAGCAAGCAATTTTAAGAGCCATAAAGAATGTATGCACTTCAATTGGGCATTCATATTTTTCCATCTTTATAAAATAAAACAAATTGTAAACAAGTAGTTACTATAGGATTCTTACGATGGTGTATAACACACAGAGATATTGGGTTTTCGGACTTTATCCATCGTCCTGGTTTTTAAGATAACTAAGAAAAACACGACGTTTCAGAAACTGGATCTGTTTCCGTCCTCAGGTGAGGGAAAACACCTATTGTGTTGGGTCCCTTAGAAAGAGCTAGCCTCAATCACTGGTCCTCTGCTTTTCTTGCTATACATAAATGATCTTCCCAAAACAATAAATACAGATAATAGCATGGTATTATATGCAGATGATACTAGTATCATAATAACAGAACCCAAGAAATTAAGCTATAAAATAAATCTTAACCAAACTTTTAAAGATACAAACACCTGGTTTAAGGCTAATTTACTTAAACTAAATTTCAATAAACTAAATATATGGAGTTTAGAACCACGAAACACTATGATACAGAGACCTACATCAGTTATGAACAGAAAAGTATTCCAAGTGCAACAGTAACTAAGTTCCTTGGTTTAACTATTGATGATGTTTTATCTTGGCAACAGCATATAAATCTGATGATCAAAGTCTAACTTCTACATGTTATGTGCTGCGCAACATTAAATATATAGTAACCTTTCCAACACTAAGGCTAATCTACTTTGCCTATGTTCACTCTATCATGAGTTATGGCATAATTTTCTGGGGTAACTCCTCTCATGCCAAGAAAGTGTTTGTCTTACAAAAGAAAATCATTAGAATCATAACAAACACTAAACCTAGGGATTCTTGTAGGAATATCTTTAAGCAATTGGAAATAATGACATTATATTCACTATATATATATTCATTACTTCTCTTCATAATAAATAACAAACATATATTCAATTCCAATATTGAGATTCACGAATATGTAACTCGAACCCATGATGACTTACATGTTCCTGCTGTGAAAACAGCAAAATTTAATAATGGAACATACATAACAGGCATCAAAGTGTACAATCACCTCCTTCAGTCAATAAAGACCTTAGCCAATAATGTTAAAAGTTTCAAATCTACACTGAAGAGGTTCTTACGTCAACATTCTTTTTACTCAATGAATCAATATCAGTATACTGAAGACAAGGATGTATAGTCCATCTGCTATTTAAATGGTTAATTTAATTTCCATCCTGTATAAGAATTATTTTTAACAACTAATACTAAATACAAGGTATTAATAATAGCATTTTACGTTTGTACCTATGGAATTTTTATTATATACTAATTTTTCAATTTTATGAACTGTATATTTTAGACTGCTATCGAATTGTATATATTATGATTTAGTTTTTACAACATGATTGTGACAATGATAACTATTTACCTGCGTTAGTTATTGCAGTACATATAGTAATCTGACATGTTCTACATCCTAGGCACATGGTGACCAGAGAGGATTCATGGAATTTTAAAATAAATGAATGAATGAATGTCAATTTTTATTCTACACAATTAAATGCAAAAATTCTCTTTTTTTCAAAATGTGTAACTGTACAAAATCTAACGGCTCTACACTGATGCGATAACATTGCTTCCACCTAGGAAGTCTGAATAGTCATCACGTTTGTATTATTCATTATATGGAATTCAAGAGTATACAGCTGACATAATAAGTGGATACAAGATATTTATGCTTATTTCATGATCATGGCCAACTGGCTCAAAAATCAGTAGGCTACACACATAAATGCAACTACACGAGCCTCCATTTGTTTTATAAAAGACTGACAATTTTAGCACAGTGTAATTAGTCTGACTGATACTTTTCAGGTATCTAGTTTTACTCTCACAGGAAACCAGCGATTCATTGGTTTTTGCTGTTTTTTTTCCTTTTCTTTCACTTTTCTTCCAGTATCTCATACAGAATATTTTCACACCATGACTCCCTCCTTCAGAATTGCACCATTCATGACCATCTTTCACATCTGATAACTGAGGTTATCATGGCAATGAATAAGAAAATTACACTCTTCTGAGATATGCTGCCAACTAGTTTGGTAGATAGGAACCTAAGTTTGTGAGGAATCTCCTGTACCCATCTTCAGGTTTCTACCCAGAAGATCATAATCTTCAGCTTCACATTTAATTTCACCTATGTAACCTTTGTATTTCATACAGAATCATGAAGCTTAAGAATCAATCGTTGGAACAATAATGAAAACGAACTACATACTTTATACAAAAAATTACAGATTACAGAGGTGACATATTTTGTCATTTTGGTTCCTTACTGAAACTTCACCCAACATTGTGGTGTTAGAACCAGAAACTAGAGTACCATGCCTGTACTGCTCCAAGACTGTACAATTACCATCTTTAAAATGGGACAAGAGAGAAGAAGTGTTTTGTTCAGAGAGGAAGGCAAAATGTACATATAACCATATATTCCTAAGAGTGCACTACATCATCACCAACATTACTGTAGCTTTAAATAAATATGCAGAACTATTTATTTGATTGTTTAGTATTATAAATTACAATGTTTGCATTTGCTTATTTTGATACACCAAAGAAACGGTGCACACATATTCACAGATATATGAGGGGGTACCCAACAGAAACCGAACTTATTTTTTTTTAAACTTATTTATTCATATTTTAAGCACAAACCTTCAATCCCCTTCAAAGTACTCTCCACTTACACTAATACACTTGTCTAGTCTTTTATTCCATTTTTCAAAACATTGTCTAAATTCATCTTTTGAGATGCTTGACAGCGCCTCCGTCGTTTTTTCCTTCACCTCAGCAACATCAGCAAAACACTTTCCTTTCATGTCTCTTTTCATTCAAGAAAACAAAAACAAGTTTTGATCATTTTGGGACTCTTCTTTCAAAGCACAGCATGCTTCCACGCGACCCTGTTTTTGTTCAGCAGTCAGCAGTCGTGGCATGAATTTCGCAGCCACCCTTTTCATTCCCAAATCTTCTGTCAAAATTCGCTGAACTGAGCTCCAAGTCATTCCCGACAGCTCCACAATTTCTTCAATGGTCCGTCGTCGATCTTCCTTGATGATTTCACGAATTTTTTCAACATTTTCATGTGTTCGGGCCGTGGAAGGACGACCAGAACGAGGTTTGTCATCAATTGACATTTCACCATTTTTTAAACGGGAAAACCACTCAAACACTTGAGTTTTCCCCATAGCATCGTCATTGTACGCCGTTTTTAACATTTCAAGAGTTTCTGTTCCACTTTTCCCGAGCAAAAAGCAGAATTTCACCGCTGCATGCTGTTCACGAAAATCAGCCATTGCAAAAACGACGATCACACAAAACAGTTGTCACTATAAACTCTGCCGAAAGTAGTCCTTACCTTCTGAAGCAACGGTAGTCGGCTTATTGACTCAGGAATGTTAGCTCTATGCGCTCATAGCGGCAAAACGCGGTACTACAAAAGCTCTGCCCACCAAAAAATTAGTTCGGTTTCTTTTGGGTACCCCATCGTACATATCATTTCTCAAGGCTTGAACTTCTAAACAGTTTTATTTCTTTGAGACTTAAGAAAACATGCCAAATCTCAGAAACATGTGCTCCTGAAGCAGCAATTTCATACATTTGTCTTATTTAATAAAACTTTATTAACTACATAGGTTGTACAGTGTCAAATGAGTACAAATACGTAACATATTGTGTAGGAAATGGCAAGCAAAAATTGTCTAACCCAAAATAGGCCTGGCAGGAAGAGGAACCATGAATATCCCTCTAGAGAATCAGCCTATGGCTCTGGATCAGATCTGGGACCCCCTAAACACAAGCAGGAATTGTAGTCACTAAGCCAGAGTATTTAGCAGAAACTACCAGATTTTCTGAGATGTAGTGGGTCTGGAACGGGGTCCACTCAGCCTCGTGAGGATAACTGAGGAGCTATTTCAAGGAAATAGCGGATTTGGTCTAGAAAACCAAAATTAAGCCCAGTGGGGATTTGTTGCGCTGACCACACGACACCCTCTATCTGCTAAAGCGCTAAAGTTGGAACTAACTTTGCCAACAAGTGGCGGTCACTTGGTTGGTATAGTTCACTTGCGGACATGGAGTTTCTTTTTGCATCAAGGGCCAAATGACTAATACTGAAGATTATACAGATAAATCAAACTCTATAAGACGCTACAAGTTAGTATCAGAGGAAAACTGTATAATCATCAGTTTTACTGTACTGGCACTTAATATGAAGTTTTCACTTACCAGTTTTTCATTTGAGATTTCAAATGATGAGGTCTGATTACTGAATGTGACTGTGTCTGCATTATCTCCACACGATGATGGTTCTTCTTTTAACACAACCTGCAAAATGTGTACTGGTTTTATATATTTATGCTGTGACTGACATAAATGAACTCATAACATACTACTCACACTATGAAACCCTAAGTCTGATCAAGGCATCATAGTTCATCCAATCTTATCTTGACTACTCATGCTACAAAGGGTAAACACTGCAATTTCAGTCTGAAGTGGACATTATCTTATGAAGGGTGAAAAACAAATACCTCATGTTAGTACAAAATCTAAAAACTTTGAAAACCTGTACATTCTGTGTTACACTGTGTGCACAAGTGCACACATGCACGCATGTGTGTGAGAGAGAGAAACACATGTCTGAGGGCCAAACTGCTCAATAACTGACTGCTGTAGTTGATCAAACTGTGACTTAAACAAAAGTATTTGTCTTGTTTGGTGGTAAAAAATAAAATGACCATTATGATGATGATGTCACTAGTTCAATAAATTGAGAAGCTGTGTATCTCTGATGAAGTTTATTCTTACAGACAACTTCCAATGAAAATATTTCCTCTAGATAGCACCAACAGTTGGTGCATATTCTTATTCTACCAAGTTTAGTATCTTAGTATAAATGCAGCTGTCTTTCCAGAACTTTTTAAAGTTATTCAGGTTAAGTGTTCTTGACTGAGTTTATTTCTAACACTTTCCAGGCAAAATTTCAATGGGTATTATGACCAGGCCAGACCAGTTAAGCACAAGGACAACTTTAATTGTTATAAGATGATAGGTAACAGTGAAAAAGTTCAGAGTATCTTATTTTTCCAGCACCTATCTAACAAATTTGAACAATTAAAATGTACTAAATTACAGTATGTAGTCTGTAACATTTTATATGGCTGTGAAACATGGTCTCTCGCTATGAAGAACACAGATTGAGAATGTCTAAGGTGACATACGGAACACATGGACATAAAAGAAAGGAAATAATTGGAGAATGAAGAAAATGTCTGTATCACGCTTTATTAAGGTCATCAAATAAAGGAGGTGGAAATGGGTATGATATGTAGCATGCCTGTGGGACATGAAAAATTCATATATATCACAGTATGAAAATCTGAAGGAAAGAGATTGTGGTACTTAAGGAAACTAGCTCTAGATGATAGGATAATATTAAAAAAGTATTTTGTGAATTATTATGGCTCACTGTACATGTGAAATTAGACGTATTAATTAAAAATTACATTATATCAGTTTTGAAAGCTATGATTAAGCAACATGATTTATGTTAAAGAATATACAAAAGATCGAAAAGCATTGTTCTCCATTATATTACCTGAAGAAAGGGGTCTTGTGCTTGCTGACAATTAAGGTAATGTCTGAGTGTGGTGTCTGATCTCTCACACTGCAGTTTGAAGCTGAAGCAGGTGTTCAGTTTCTTTATGCACTGCTGGCACATCTGGGTTGGCAAGCTATCTCCTGCACAAAGCTATAAACCAATGAAGCATGTATCTACCAAATTTCAGATACTGCCATGTATACTCCAGTATTCTGAGCACCTAAAGTATGTCTAAAATAGCTCTGAGTATGCAGCATACTTTCTTAACTAGGCAACGGTACAGAAGTAAAGGCCTGTTCAACAAGATCTTTGGTATGGTGAGTTTGATTTCCAATGTATGCTGGAAATAGAATATCGTAACTTTCAAATGATGACATAATCATCTATGTCACTATCTAATGAGGTCGCAACCTCAAAAATGTTTTAGACATAGTATAAGTGAAGCTATTGCATATTATACACATAACAATCTTAATGCTGCAGTCACTTTCTGCATCAGAAATTAATTTCCTCCTGTCACTTCTTAGCATTTTTTCTTATAAAATGAGAACTGTAAGAGCTATTGTGGTGTCATATGTCTGTGAATGTATCTCCAACCCCTGGATCCCAATAATGAAATGATACTTCTGCAGGAGGCCACCAGATGTTTATATTTTAATTACCAAAGAACAACTGTGCTGCAATTGTTATAATGCAACATTCTGAGGCCTGTGATTGCTAATGCTACATGATGTTCAAAAACATTAACCATTAGTGAAGAGAATATAATACAACAAGGCTACCACACAGAATTTACATTTACTCCTGAGTTTAATGTTAAATGATATACCAATGTAATTAGGTATGTGAAGAGTGATATGGCTGTTTTTTCTTCATTTATTTAATAATTTTGTGTAGGCCTACAGTGCCTATGCAGCATGAAATGTGAAATGAAAAGCTTAGTATGAAGCAGGAAACCATGGCTTATTCTGCTGTAGCATATGGACCCTAAAAAAAAGTCAGCCAAGCTAGTCAGTATCCAGGCCAAGATTTGAACCGGGGACTACTCAAATATAAGGTTACTCAGAAGACTGTAACTATTACACTGCTACTGGTGAGAGAGATTTGAAGTTCTGTCAATGTTTTATAGAAATTCCTTGTACATCACAGATTATAAATATGGCAAAATGTGTTATTACTGACATGTTCTGATATTGCATATATCAGAACTTCTGCACACAGATACATCATTATGTTGAATAACACTTATTTTACACATGTCAAAATGGTTTTGTGATAGATGTACCATTTATGTGATATGGAGCATCCATGTTTTATGTTGAAAGAGCTGTATTCTCTATTTCAAAATTTTATTTCCGGAGGTAACATGTTCTCATGTCAATCATCTAGCACACAATTTAATTTCACTCTATACCAACAAAAGCATAAAAATTAAGTTAAATGTCCAGTAAACTACAAACTTCATTATATTAATGTTGGCCATAGGTATTGTAAAGCATTTCTTAGGTACAGCATAGGGTTATCAATACAGTAGGCTTTCAATATAAAACAGGTGCCAGAGAACCTTTGATATCTGTGTTACAGGCTACCTGCATTATAAGTGAAATTGATATTTATGTTACTTTGAAACCACCGTTCTTGTGAACATAATATTTATACAGTGACTAAATTCATTTCATGAAATTTGAGCCCGAATTATAGGCTGTGATCAATCAGATAGAAGGTGTCCTCATTAAATTTTTCTGTTTGAGCTAACTATCTCAATGTTACAGAAGCCAGAAACATACTGTGCATACATTCAGTACCTGCAAATTACAGCATGGAACAATGAAATACAGCCTTGTATTGTAACAGTTCCTGCATAGAGCAAACACGCCACATTACCATCATTCTTTTCTTCGCCTTTCTGCAGAGCTTTTGGATTGGCCATTGCTCTTTTCACACATGGAGAATGAAGTCATGTTACACACCCCAGATTTTTCACAGGCAGTAGTCTGCACTTTGAATTCTTTCATACGCACTTGTGCCTAATATTTAATTGCAAATGTTCAATGTAAATACAGTAATTATGTCTCTTCAATTTTAATACCATGTAAACATATTAATTATAACATTGTAAATAAACTTGTGTTAGCAATATTTACAGGCTGTTACATGCACTGTGCTAAATGACTGCTATGTGAAAAACCCACACATCATCTACTAGTCTGTGAATAAGAAAGTGTTCAGAGCCACTGTTCTGTCATGCCAATAAATGTACTTACATTTATTGTTGGCGATATACTTTGGATTTTTTCTTGCAGCTTATCAGCAGTATCAAATATTGGATGCAGTTTATTTCCAGATTCCAGACACAGGCGACATATTTCCTTAAAGTTGAGCAACATGACTTCAAATTCCTGGGTACAAAATATAAACAGCGTTACTTTATTTAAAACAATATATGTATACATAATATCAACTTAAAAGTAGATCTCCAACCGCTTAAAATATTTTAAGAAACTCTTAATATACTACCAAAGGTTCTTACACAATTATCTCAATTATTTAAGAATTTATTAGAATGAGAATGCATGTCACTTTTAAGTTGATGCTACTGAATTACATGATGTAAAATATTGCAGTACTAGATGAATATATTCAGACCAACAAAAATGATATCAGCACATGCCATACTAATTACCTATAGATAAGCAAATGATGGAATATAACATTTTAATTTTTAACTGTGGGTTATTTTAATAAAGAACTGAACTTCAGAAATGGAACAAACATATCATTTTTGACTGTGGCATAATTTGTGATTCAAACCCTTCTTCATCCTTTATATCAACATGAAATGAACTAATAATTCTATTGAAATGAGCACAGCTGATGAAGAATATGTCACTTCAAAATGGGTAATTGGTAAAATGATTCAAAAGCAGTGATGCCACCCTGGGGGTTCATATTCGTTTGTTAAATGCTATTGTTAATACACTAATACAAGTTCTGGGAGAAACTAACGCCTACTTTCCTTTGAATTGACATGTTCCACAGAGAAAATGATGCATCCAACAATTCTTCCATTGTTGTTCGGGTATTCATTGCCACGGTAAGGATTTTACTGAGCCATTGCCTAGCAACAATAGTGGGATACACATGTACATACATAGACCAATGGGAACGATTTATGAAGTACACTGTTGAGATGGGCTTAGGTGCAGTGATATACACACAAATATCATCTAGAAATTTGTTGACAAAGGCATATTAGTATAAATATTATGTTTTTGGACATTATCCATCTTCTCGTCTTTATCTAAAAACCATCCTGTTTATTTTTCAAAACACAATGTTTCGGAGATTGGATTCTATCTCTGTCTTCAGGTAAAACCTACTCAGTTGGGTCCAATTGACAGAGCTAGTCCCTCTTTCCGGAAACCTATGCCAGCTACAAGAAGGGGTAGAGACAGAATCCAGTCTCCGAAGTGTTGCGTTTTGAAAAATAAACAGGACGATTTTCAAAAATGAGAAGACAATGAATAATGTCCAACAATATAATATTTGTAATATACATACAAGTTTCATAAAGAGTTGTTCAGCCATTCAAAAGTTGATAGAGGGGGATATACACACAGAATGGTTATCACATAAGACTACTTCTATTTTTTCAAAATAAAAAAGTAGGCTAAAAAGCGATTAGTTAAGGATGGGACTGAAGTAACCCTATTTTTAATAAACTATGATGTTACCACAGTTCAGAAAGTAAAGGTCATGTTATCCCCGTGGCTTCACACCAACCCGTGAAGATAAATTAGGTATGTGTGCAGTCGTAGCATTAAGATTATCTCAAGATATATGATCATCTCAGTAACCCAACCATTTTACTTATAAGGAAAGAAAGCCTTGTACAAATTGCACAGGAGTGCAGAACTTCTGCAGCATCATGAATACAATGATGAAAGGTAAAATCACAATGTTCCTGCCTCAAATTGAATTCTGACCATTCAGTCTACAATCAATCATTTCAGTGACTGAACTATCACAGATCATAGCAAATATAATTGTTAGAATAAATCTTTACATTATTTTCAATAATCCAATTATTTTAACTAACATTTAACACTACCCTCACAATAGCTGAAAGCAATGGATATAAAAAATATAACGTAACAACTCTATGCAAACAAAATCCGAAAACAAAAATTTATCACATATACAGGGAATTATCTATGCTCGATTACACATCTATTCAAACACACTACAATCTAGATAGCATTTAAAACAAATACAATTAAAACATACACAGTACAACTCTGAAAACAAACAAATCTGAATATAAGAATTGAGGAACACTAACATGTTGAAACAGTAAACAATCCTACATTACGCAAAAAGGAAGACCCCTAAAAACTTACACATAAATAGTATCAGAAACAATAAAGATTCCGCCTTGCAAAACAGTTCTGAGCAACACACACCAATATGAAAAAATGGAAGACATTATGGAGATAATAGATTATGCAGAAAAGGGGAAAATCATGCATATTAACCCTTTACATTTTTTTTACAGTAAGCCTATAAACATTTTGAATAATAGTATCATATTAACTTAGAAATTCAGCTGGGTGTTAGTTGTGAAAACATTCCACACAGAGTCCCATGCCACACCAGTACACAGTTTTTGACACACAACACATTTTTGTTCTATTGATTTCTTCGCAGTTGGTGGAATCTTGCTTATAAAATTTCTTTCTCTTAGATGTGGTCACTGTTTTGTCTGAAGAATATCAACCCGGCACTTTGTGTTCTACAGCATTAGCATATTTCACAGAGAGTCCCTCAATTAAGTGAATTCTGATTGACAATTATCTTCTCTTTTCCCTGTGTTATTCCTACATATTATCATTGCATTCAGAAATTTTACTTTTGTCTCTTATAGTTTTGCATATTCTCCCAATGGATGTTTGTGATTTTCTCGATTCTGTCATTTAACACAGAATCAAGAAAAGCACAAACATCCATTTTCAGTATCTAATTCCAAATCTGATAAAAATTTGTTCCGATTAGGTTTGAACTAAATATATTCTCCACTGGTCATGACACAACACAGCTGGCCATTTCGTTCCTTGCAACTGGCCTTGGCCAACCAGACCGCATGACACGTATTTATAGGACAAAGGGGAAATACAGTAATATCATTCATATTGTGAACTGTTTATTCTTTTCTACATAGCAATCATAACACACTTCCTAGATTCAACATCACATCTCAAAGTCATAGATTCTCCACGTGTCTTCTCATGGTTACAAATTTCAATCTAGAAACAGAACTGGTCACAAGAATACACTTTTCATTCGATCAGCATTCAGGGCAGCACACAGTATCGATCTAACATATTTAGATCGTAAGAATTCCCTAAGGCAGGGGTAGGTTTGTATGGTGACAAGCACACCAAGTGTTGAAGTAGAAAATGTTTTCAAAGAATTCAAATGAATTACAATTTCTGCAGGAAGTTCACAGTGGGACAAATAATACACAAAATGGTAGCCTCAAATTTCCTCTTTAATTTCAAAGAATTACTTTACATGAAAAACAACAGTTCAAAATACGTGCTGAAACTTAGCACTGTACTAGCCGTGCCAGGTACAGACTTCAGCAACATGTGACTGAAGCTGCTGCCGTGCCACACACGGACTAAGGCACTGAAGAGTTAATCTTGCAGAAAAATCCCAAGTCCATGTTATTACAATTATTTGGGCTGACTCTTACAATTTCCAGTAGTTTCAGAATATTCTCTTTTGGAATCTTCTTATTACTCCGGTTATGACATATCTGCCGCATATCTGAAGCATATTCAGGATGATGTGTGAATGTGAGGCCTTAGCTTATATAAGATTACATCACTTGGGTCAATACTTTATGGAACCAAGGGACTATTTCGACACCCCGACCTATAGAATCCTTTACTTCAAATGAAGCGCAGGATTGCTGTGGGGATAATCAAAAGGGGAAGCACAATAGACCACTGTAGGTAGCGGTGCAAGGGCCGAGAAGGCCCACTCCTTATACATTCATTCATTCATTCATTCACCTTCAGGAAATCTGTAAATAATTTATATGGAAGGTATCGACCCCATACTAAAAGTACTCAAGTATTACATGGGAAAATATTGATTCCGCCCTGGATCAAGGGAATGTCACACAATTATTCTTCTAAAACTTAAAGCATATACGCTTTAAACATCATTGCATGTCTTTTACACTATGCTGTAAAACACAATTATGAGAATGTCACAACTCGTACTCCACTGTACTCACTGTTATTCTCTAAGCACTTTAACTGACGCAAAAAAAAAATAATTCTCTGATGCTCTTTACCACCTTCTCACACATGTAAGCCTACAAGATTAAATGTGAAGAATACAGTACGTTGTGTAACACACCAAAAATCACTTGCCTTCATTGTGCATGTTTCATCACACACTGTACACATCAAAGTCCATCTTTTACACAATTCAATAAATATGATTCCTAGAATAGCATGAATGACGACATATGTTTCTCTTTGCACACCACCTTGTTATAAGATGTTACTCTTGATGCAAACCAGATAAGTACATAACATGGAAGACTGTTGACTCCATCATGTGTGAACGGAAAACTTAACTCTGCATTCTTGAAAACACTACACATGCAGAACACATCAGTGTATATATTACACACAAACCTATAATTTTGATTGGTGGACAGTCTTCAGATGGGATTTACACTTCACTTTACACTGTGTCTCCTTACAAGCACTTCTACTTATGCAAAAACAACAGTTATGTGATGATGTATACTACCTAACCAAACACATAATCTTTACAGTTTGGCAGAAAATGGAAGACAACCTTCTGTGACACACCATGAACGAATTTCCAAAATGTGATTCACCTGCTCTAATTGTGCACACTAATGACACATTTCCCAAACATCACTGTGCATATTTTGAAAATATTATTACACATGACTGCAAGAATATTATCAACGACATCTTGTGTTTCACTAGTCACTACCTTCTTATGACCATATATTCATAATGCATACAATAAATGTTCATTAGTAGAGCAACTGTTGCTTCTTTAATGGGGAAAAGGAATATCACTAGACATTCTTACAATCACTGCATATGTCACACAAACCTCACTTATAAATCTTCTTCAATGATAACATGGAACACACTTTACACTGCCTTCTCAAAAGTACTTACACTCATTTAAACAAACCTTATATGGTGTGGTGTCTACTAAATTACTCACATGCGTAACTTTTTCAAAAGTTAGATAGCAAAACTATTCCCTGTTCTGTCACAAAATAAATTCACTTGTAAAATCTAATTAACTTGCAATTCTTGAACCCACTACAACACGCTTCGTACAAATACCTTTTAATGTCACAGGTAATTATGATGCTCAAAATACACGTATTAAATCCTGCCATTCGCATTTCACTCATTTTCTTTCTATGATATTTTATATATATGCACATTTTCTTATAAAAACTTTTCATACCAGAAAACATACACACCTTGAAATTCTCCTGTGGAGACGGTCGCTGTATGTCTCAGTGTCGCCCTTCGCACGTTGACATTGAGCCACAATGGTAGATGTTAATTCGCTTGCGTCGTTTGATATCTTTGATATTGCTCACAAGTTGCAACATTCCCATCTGAAATTCTATGACCTCTTCAAGCCAATTTTTTCAGGGGGAGGAATAACACCCTTAAATTAAGACAAGTGCCTGTTCGGTTTTTCACTTTCTAGCGCTGCCAACATTCTCATTTGTACCTGATCTGGTTCGCGATCGCGACGTTTTTTCGATCCCATGTTCTGGGAGATGGCTATTTAAAACATGCAGCTTCCTGATTGTTCCTGATAATTTGTTTCTAATCCGGAGGGTTCCTGGTCCGTAGGTGGTATATCAGAGTTTTCCTCGGGGGATTTGTCACTGTCTAGGCTGTCTGGTATCTCACGCTCACAATCCGGTTTAAACAAAAACTGCAATTGTTCAGCATACAAGTAGTTCCTCGTAAAGAATGCCCCAGCTCCGCTCGTTTTGTCATTTATTTTTCTACGAGTTCTAGCGTAATCGTCTGATATTTCTCCATATTTTTTGAACTTCTTTTACTGTAATGAAATTAAAGTAAAATAAGGTTAAAATTAAAATTAAGAAAAAATTAACTACATATGATACGTAATGAATGAAAGGAATTGGTTGAAGAGTTTTACTAAACAGCTATCAAACTAATTACTCATTCATTCATTCATTTTACATTCCATAGATCCACAGTACAACAGGTAGGTTATGGAACACATCAAGTGGTACACATATAAAAGACAAATAAGCCAAAAAATAGAATAAAATAAAATGACAGAAATATAAAAAGTTCTATTATTAATAGTTTTAAAACTTGGTGACAATAAACATAATTTGTTAAACTGTGTATAAATTCTTCGGTACAGGGTGGGGCGCAGAAACTTCCTTCTTGTGAAGACGCATTGTAAAGGGAGGGTAGCTCGCAGAAAAGTGGGGACAGGCTCGGCGAACGCAGCAGTCATGGAAGTTTCTGTCTAATACCTCTCAGTAGGAAACATGAGGTAGATGAGTGAGCAGCGTGCATTTGCTGTCGAAGCCTATTTTTCGAACAACCCTTCCTACGTGGCAGTGCAGTGTTACTCACTTCGGAATTAAGCCCAGAGGTCCAGTTCCTGATCGGAAATCGATTGTTTTCTGGGTAGAGAACTTTAGGACAACCGGGAGTGTGGTGAAAAAATCATCAGGATGACAACGGACTGTTATGATGCCAGAAAATGTGGAGGCAGTTCGACAGTCGATTTTCAGATCTCGCAAACATGCAGTCGCCCTAGACATATCCAATCGTTCAATGCACCGAATTCTTCACGAACATCTTCATTTCCATCCCTATAAGATGGTTGTTGTGCAAGAATTGTCACCACATGATTTCCAGAACCAAATAACGGGGTGCGAAACATTATTGGAAACTTTACCCCCTGACGCACTTGTTTTCTTTAGTGATGAGGCACATTTTCACCTATCCGGATATGTCAACAAGCAGAATATGCACTATTGGAGTGGTAACAATCCCACAGAGCTCCATGAGAGGCCACTTCACAGTGATAAGGTGACAGTATCATGTGCGTTGTGGAGAGTTGGAGTTATTGGCTCTTATTTTTTTTAAGAAGACAATCATGCAGTTACTGTCAATTCACAGCAGTACATGGAGATGATTAAAAACTTTTTCGAACCAGCTCTTGAAGAAATGCATCTAGCAAATGTCTGGTTCCAACAGGATGGTGCCACAGCCCATACAGCCCGAGCTTCAATGGCAGTTTTGAGGGCAAAGTTCCCCGGACGGCTCTCACCTGATCTAACGCTGTGATTTTATTTTATGGGGATACCTCAAGGCAGAGGTTTTTAAACATCACCCCACAAACCTGCTTCAGGTGAAGAATGTTATTCGGCAGGAAGTAGCCAAAATTCCGGTGCACGTCGGAACGTGCAGAGGGGAACTTCAGAAAACGGTTGCATCAGTGCATAGAGAACGGTGGCCACCACCTTCAAGATATTTTGTTTAAAACTAAATGATTTAAAACTTTAAAGTATATGATGGCAGCTCTGATGGCCATTCCACAGAAGCAGTTACAAAACTGTTTTCAAGGGTGGACTAGGCACTGGCATTGGTGCATAGCTCCCCAAGGGGAGTATTTTGAAGGCAACCACAGTGATATCCAGCAATGAGGTATGTAGCACTATTACCAGGATGAATTCATGAACTCTACTGTCAGATCATGTATACTGTTTTTGTGACTGCATAATGAATGGTGTGATCGGACTAATGAAATCTGTGTGAACACATATACTAATATACAATTCCACACATTATATATATAAAATAAGAAGACACAAGATAATTTACAAAGAGACTGAGTTACGTCTGATAAATATAACATACTGTCACGTGCTGGGTGTGTCACATGACAAATAACTTTACGTGGGCCTTGGATTTAGCAAATCTTTATTGGATACTCAAACTTACACACCTTACAATTGTTATCACTTCAACTGTATTCTGCGGCGGCTATCTTTCAACTGTCTTGTATGGCGACTAGGTTCCAACTGTGTTGTATGGCAACTAGGCTCCAACTGTATTGTATGTCTGCAGCTCTCGGCTTATGTATGTGTTCTGTGGTCTCAGTAGAGGACACCCCTTGCCAAGGTTTGATCTCACGTGTTCGGCAATCCGTTGCTTTGGGAACGCTATTTATACACTAGTAAAGAGTTTCGTCTCATCTGTTGTTACTAACGGCCTTCTGTTGTTCATCTCCAGGGAAAAGCGTTCGTTGTTTCTGCAATTCCTACGCAACGGCCCGCTGTTACTGCGTTACCATGGAAGTATCTACTCCACACACATTACAATACATAAAATTTACATCAAAGCGATCATTTCTTCCCACAAAGTAATGAGAATGATGATGATAATCTGCTATATCTGTGTGTGTGTGTATGTGCATGTGTAGCAGATATTGTTACTCAAGCATGATTTGATTCAATGACCATGTATTCAAAAACCAACAACTTTACCCCCTAAGTTAATGCACAATTTGTGGAATTATAAATATTAATTGCATATTTAAATACAACATTATGCACACAATATATGTATGAGTGAAAGTCTGCATTATGAAAGTGTCATGATTTCTGCCTAGAACGCCAATAAATCAAAACATTCACCAACCAAACACTGACAGTCTATTATGAAATGCTGCATGCTTGCTGAGATTTGCTTGAAGTGAAAATTCTTTTCCACAAACATCACAAACATGAGACTTCTGCCCAAGATGTAGAGTCTCGTGTTTTCTCAAATTTCCTTGTTGAGTGAACCTCTTTTGACAGACAGTACAAGGATAAGGTTTTTCTCCAGTGTGAATAATCTCATGTTTTTGCAAATTCCCTTGCTGAGAGAATGCCTTACCACATATCACACATGCATGTGGTTTCTGTCCACTATGAATAACCATATGTTTTTTTAAATTTCCTCCTTGGGAGAACTGCTTACCACACACCTTACAGCCAAACGGCTTTTCACCAGTATGTATTATTTCATGTTTACGCAAGTTCCCTTGTTGGGTAAAACTCTTGCCACACACTTTACAGTCATGTGGCTTCTGTCCTGTGTGAAGAATCTGATGCTTCTGCAGATTCCCCTGCTGTGTAAACCTCTTACCACAGATTCTACAAATATATGGCTTCTGTCCACTGTGAATAATTAAATGCTTGCTTAAATTCCCTTGCTGGGAGAAACTTTTTCCACACATTTTACACATGTGAGGCTTCCTCCCTGTATGAATTATCTCATGCTTCTGAAGATTTCCTTCTTGTGTAAAACACTTTCCACATACATTACACGAAAAAGGCTTTTCACCAGTATGTATTACTTCATGTTTCTTCAAGTTGCCTTGCTGTGTAAAACCCTTCCCACAGAGTTTACAAATATGGGGTTTCAGTCCTGTGTGAATAAATTCATGTTTATGTAGATTTCCTTGTTGGCTAAAGCCCTTACCACAAATTCCACAGACATGTGGTTTCTCCCCGCTATGAATGAATTCATGTTTATGCAAATTACCCAACTGGTTAAACCCTTTTCCACAGACAGTGCACACATGTGACTTCATCCCTGTATGTATTAAAGCATGCTTTTGAAGATTACCACGCTGGGAAAAGCCTTTCCCACACATACCACATATGTGTGGTTTTTCACCAGTATGAATCTTTTGGTGTTTGTACAAATTCCCTTGTTGGTTAAAGGCTTTGTTGCAAATGTTACAAACATAAGACTTCTGACCACTGTGAGTTACTTCATGCTTTTGCAGATTGCCTTGCAGTGTAAATGCTTTGCCGCAAATCTTGCTAGAATATGGCTTCCCATTACTAACCTGCCCTCCACTTTGTTGCATTACATTCTTGTTCAGATAGCTTTGTCCTGTATGAATTAATATATGTTCTTTCAGTTCATTCAGATCTCTAAAGGTTTCTCCACAAGCCCAGCATAAATGTGTACCAAAACTGCTGGCTACAAACCCATGTTTGTTATGTGAGGATACAACACTGAATCCTAGTTTACTTGGGAAACAATCCCGACAGGGACAGTGAACATGAGAATTTTGAAGTTCAGTGTGAGACATTACATATAGTGGCTGCAGATATGGAGGTTTCAGAGTCAGAAGTCTTTGATAAGATATATGTAAAGCAATGCTGGAACCATTCTATACTTCAATGTCCTTATTCTTGACATTTTAATAAGTTGTGTTTAAAGAAACTGGAACAGATGCTGCAGACAAACTAAACCTTGGTCATTATTTTGTTCTCCATACCTGAAATTTAAAATAAAGAAGTACAGAATCAGATCTGCTGAAAAAATATGTAAGAGCTGTATTCACATATCTTCTTTTACTAAGTAATTATTAGTCTTCATGCCACACATGTCTCGTAAAAAGAAAAGCAGCTGACTGAAGAATTTGAAGTAGCCTGGTTATTTAAATACTCAGCTAGGTCATTTAATATACCACTTACATGGAATAAAAGGTTAACAACAATGACATTTTGTATTGTTTTTTACAAGGTCACTTTTTATTTTAATCTTTAATGTATGCAGGTACAAGCTTCTCTTTTGATGATTTAAGACTTATACTATTTTGCTGTATGGTTTTGTTCAATATTTTGTACAATGGCCACTGATTTATGTGTGTACAGAGTGCAGATCCAGATTCTAACTTCTCATATTTGATGTCCAAGCATATGAGTCTGTTTTGTAAGGGACAACTGATTGTTATATGAGTCACTCACATTATATTACATATATATGTCATGCTGTATCATTTAATGAATTCTTTTGCACGTAATTTTGGGATAATAATCTCATAAGAAAGTATCTGGTTCAAAATGACTTCAATGCAAAATGACAGTATTATATACAGTATACAGTGTGATCACATGGTCATGGTTAAGTTTTGAAGTGGCAGCATTCCATAATCACACACACTAAAAACATAAGTGAAAAAACAATCAAAGAGGAAACTGTCATCCTTTCACCTCTGTAATCAGTGAAGTTCAATATGGACATCTTTTATTGCTCTGCACATACCTAATCCATATCCTAATTCTTGTCACACACAACACTGGAATAACTGAGGTATTCATTAAATGTGTGCAGATCAACAATTGGCATACTTACCCTGAACTTCACTAAGCGCAGAAGTGGAAGTATGACTTCCTCTGATAGCATGCATGATCTTGAAAACAGAAAGACTTTATGAACTATTTATTTTATGTACTATTTATCTGTGAGCATCTGAGGGATATAAAATAGATTCAGAACAGAAAAAAAAACAGATACAAAGAACTGAACAATAAAATAACATTTACAGGCTGTGTTGCAGTACAGTAGGAGTACACATATGCTACCCACCTGGGTCAGCATTCCTTTTTTTTTCAATAATACCATTACTGTTGAGTTACAATTCAGCCACGAACTCCACATTATAAGGGGATTTAAAATAGAGGCCCACCAGGAAGCAATGAAGGCCTGTCTAGAAAAGAAGAAGGCTGAGATAGATGTCATTTAAGAGGAGATGAAGGCCTGTCAAGAAGTGGCAAAGGTCTTGTTAGAAGAGATGGAAGCCAACAAGAAAACATCAGAGGTCGCGATGGAGGTGAATCAAGAAATGATAAAGGCCATGGCAAACCACTATGCAGGGGTACCACACACAGAAGTCACACAAGAATGAGCTGCCAATATTCTACAGGAAGTCCCTAAAGGAAAGATGGACAAGATGACTATTGGGGCAACTGAGAACCCATCTGCAGACCAGCAACTTATCATGGGGTATTGTGAAAAACTGAAAACATGGACCAAGGACAATGGTGAATCCCTACAGGAAGTGGCCAATGCCATTAAACGGTTGACCCACCATGCCTTTCCTACGTGATATAAGACCCACATGCATGGGGGATCAGGCAAGGCATTTTGCAGTGGGACAAGAGACTGAGGCCTATAACGGCAGCTGCAGCTGGGAAGAAAGAGAACACAAAACGAGACCCTCAGGCAGACCCTACAGCTGGAGATTATAAAGATCTTCTTCTATATATATATATATCTTCTATCAAGCTCTGGAAATCAGTGAGAGGGCACTGTGGAGGGACTGGCGTTTTTCAAGCAGAAGAACAAATGGCAGTACTCCTGTAGGCTACTCAGGACAAGCACCCACAAGGAGGGAGCAATGTGACAAATGAAAGCTGGTACAGCAGACCCAGCAGAGACATCCACTGCCAGGGAACGGCCCATAAACACCTCTCCACAGCAATGAACATGTAGCGCCATGACAGAGAGCTGCTGGAAACAGTGTTTTCTATTGGGTCCATGCAAGGCTATTTAAGAAGAATGGTGACAAAAAGATCTCTGGTCATGAGCCTCAAAGGGCTTGGCACCAAGACGAACTGATTGGTGGTAAACCACCAGTCATATAGTAACCCTCCTTCTGACTTTTGAAGATGACATGGAAACACATACATGTCTAGGATAGAATAAAAATCTTGGTCATAAATATCAAGCAGGCTAATGACACGAATGATGTGCTGGTGAAGGCCAGCAGCAATGTAACTGACTGACCAACCATGAGCAGAAGAGATCATTGTTGGGACCCATTTCCAGGCAACAGCTAGGGGAGATAAATTGAGAAGACCTAGTGAGTGCTATAGTGAATCATAAAGAGTGTGAATTGGTGATAGTGCTCTAATTGCTTGTAGTCATAATTTATAAGTGTTCAATAAATCCAATTACCAATTCAAACCACGGGTCTAGTCACTAAATATGTTAAAAATATATACAATGTAACTTTTTTTCTGTATGTATGTGTGTGTGTGTGTGTGTGTGTGTATAACAAGATCTCCATAGCTCAAGCAGTTAGTCACTGGCTTCCACTGCGGCAGCCCGGGTTCAATCCCGGGGTCTGGTCAAATGGGACTTGTGGTGTACAAAGTGGCGCTGGGGCAGGTTTTCTCCGAGTACTTCGGTTTCCCCTGCCAATCTTTGTTCCACCAATTGCTCCACAATCATCCTCACCTTTCATCTGAGGCTGGTACAATAAGCCAGAAGTGGCCGCAGTACAAGGAACTTTGTCCCAACCCACTAGCATTAAAAAAGAATTACATATGAAAATTGTATATTTCAAAATACAAATTACTAGAAACAAAGAACTGGTTTCAAACATGTAACACAAAGGATTTTAATCCATATATTATCTTGAATTGTTTGTTAGATTGATTTTTCACATGATGTATTACCCACTATCTAGTCTCTGGGCATTTAAGGGTATAAATTTTATGGAAGTATGTTACTGTAATAGATCATCCGTTTTAAATAACACATGACAGTAAACAATTAAGATGGACATGAATGGTTTACTTACAGCTCATTTCCTTTTATCCTGTAGAGGAATAGGTTATTTAATAGTTTTCCAATTTTAAGGTTCTTGCTATGAAATGACTGATTGTGCAGGGTGGGGTGCAGAAACTTCCTTTTTGTGAAGACGCACTGTGAAGGGAGGGGAGGTCGCAGAAATGTGGGGATAGGCTCAGCGAACTCAACAGTTGCGGAAGTTTCTGTCTAATACCCCTCAGTAGGAAACATGACGTGGACGAATGAGCAGCGTGCGTTTACTGTCGAAGCCTATTTTTTGAACAACCATTCCTATGTGGATGTGCAGCGTGCGTTCCGTACTCACTTCGGAATTAAGCCCAGAGGTCTGGTTCCCGACCGGAAATCAGTTGTTTTGTGGGTAGAGAACTTAAGGACAACCGGAAGTGTGGTGAAAAAATCATCAGGATGACAACAGACTGTTATGATGCCAGAAAATGTGAGCCTTTTTCTTATATTTGCAACATGTCTATTATGTACTTCTTCTGGCTTATTTTGGACTTCATCCATCGTCTGGTATGTAAAAGACAAAAGACCACGACGTTTCGGAGACTGGATCTGTCTCCGTCTTCAGGTGGGTAGGGAAGGATAAAACCTACTCAGTTGGGCCCGTTACAAAGAGCTGGTCTCAATCACTCAATCACCCACCTGAAGACGGAGACAGATCCAGTCTCCGAAACGTCGTGGTCTTTTGTCTTTTACATACCAGATGATGGATGAAGTCCAAAATAAGCCAGAAGAAGTACAGTATACACCATCGTCAGAATCCTTTCAAGTATGTCTATTATGACTGGTGCATTTCCTGATCATTCGAAGTATGCAATCACAAAGCCTTTGTATAGAAAAGGTGATAAAGCTGACATATCAAACTATAGGACTATTTCTATGTTCATTGTATTTAGTAAAGTTTTAGAAAAAACCATGTATCATAAATTAAATCAGCATCTACAAGTGAATAATATATTGGTGCAGGAACAGTTTGGTTTTAAGAAAGGCTTATCAACTGATCATGCTGCTTTTTCACTTACCACCGACATACTTCAAGCCTGGAATGATGAACTTCTGTTTGGATATTTTGTGACCTTGCCAAGGTGTTTGATTGTGCTAATCATGAGATACTGATATCCAAATTAGAGTATTATTATTAACAGTAGAGTGAATTTATCAACTACACAACACGTTTTTATTATCACTACATGTTTCAACCTCAAGAGGTCATCCACAGGTGTATGAACATGGCTGTATAATTACACACGGTCACATTCACTTTTCACTCATTCTGCATCAGAGAATGCAGAAGAACAGCGAGATGTCACAAACAAGTGAAAGTGCAACCAATAACATAAGTTGAACTTTAATTCACAAACTTTTAACCAATAATAACAATAATTAAACTAGTTAAAAAAGAACTAGACACAGTTGTGAGCGTAAGTAAAATGAGACTGTAAAAACAAGTGAAAGTGTAACCAGTGACATGAATTGAACTTCGATTCACGAACTTTTAACTT